ACTCTTAATTTGAAGAAAGATTCATCACTCGAGTCTAAGTTTTGTTGCCCACGGAGTAAGGAGAATCAGATTAAGATAGAAGTTCCTTTTGAAAACCTGATAGGATAAACAACAGATCTAGCCCCCAAATTGCTAACTGATCTAAAACGATTTAAGAGTTCGCCAGTCATGGCCTGTACTCAATATTTTCGATACCAGGTTAGAAATCTTAATCCGTTGGCCAGAAGACATATCGAAGAACCAAAGAAACTTCAATGGAGTAGACAACTTATCCTAAGTCCTTTGGATAAAGATGCTGGCATTGTCATAATGAATCGATGCGACTATATAACGAAGTAATCACAACTCCTCAGCGATGAATCAAAATTCACGAAAGATGCATCAGTAAAAGACCAGATGGACCATGCTGAGAAAGAAATGACAGATGTACTAAAAACTCTAGGGCTCTTTGAAAAAATGAAGGCTGTAGGTTCAACCATACCGCAACTTTATGGACCACCCAAGATCCACGAAGCAAGCTAGTCTCCGTGTCTTATTCGTTCCATGACTAGCTCAGCTTATCATAGCACTGCGCGATGGCCATCACGGACACAAACGTCGACAAAAGACGATGTTTTCCCCAAATGCTGCCTCTCGGTTGACAAACGTGTCACTGGTGGAAAGGCTGAATTTCATATTTTCAGTTATCGAAGAAAGACAACTCCCGATAGAAGACCCGACAGTAAACCCTAAAGAACTGTTACCGAAATGCACATTACAGGCACAGTTTCTCTTTCATGGAACATTTTGTCGACAAAAAGACGGAGTCCCAACAAGACTTCTGCTAGGTCCACTCTTAGCTGATATTTTCATGGCTAAGTTAGAAGACAGAAGACTGAAGATAACAATATTGGGGCCTTTTCCAATATTATCATTACGCGGAAGATATTTTCTGCACGAATGGACGACACTCAGATATAGACAAAGTTTTAGAATTGTTCAGAGCCACAAATTCAGCAATGCGATTCTCGGCTGAGCTAGAAAAGAACAACGATGAGCTCGGAACGATCATCACAGCGGAAAGTATATAGAAAGCAGCGTGGAGTGGGCAGTACAGAAATTTTCAGAGTAATGTGCCTTTAAGCCAAAAGAGAAACCTGATGACGTGTTTGACATTAAGGGCTAAACGTCTATGCTTTGGAGATAGGCAGAGCTCAAGGCCACAGACGATCCATAAAGTCTTATCAGCAAATGTCTATTCACAGAAATTCATCAACCGCAATATGGAGTATGAACAAACGACAGAAGAGTTATCAGAGGTAGCTAAGAAAACTCCATTCATATGTAATAAAAAATCCACTTGCATTTTTCACATCGAAAAGTAGAACTATTTATTAGTCTCTCTTTCAAAGGTGACTCCGCAGCCGAGAGGACTAGTAGGATTTTATGTGCTGCTGTTAAACCCTTATTTAAAGCTGCAACGCTAAATTGCCAGTTCTCAACTAATTCCGTCATCAGATATGAGAACAAAGATAAACTGGCTTTGCTGACCTCATCAGTGATTATCCATCAGTTCAAGTGCGCCTGTGGTGCCACTTATGTTGGTCGAACGACGAGGCTTTTGTCAAAAAGCATCAAAAAGCTTCAGCCAGGCTGGGTTCTACGAGGGAGGGGGGATGGAACTGCTCCTTACTCAATCACTACCCATTTACTAGAATCAGGGCATCCGATTGGAACGGAAAACTCGTTCCGTGTTGTGTACAGAGTGCCACAAAACAAATCTAGAGTGATTAGATGCCGAACGCTAGGCACGGCTGGGACGACTAGTATACAGGTCCTTGAGCCTGAGATATGCTGCACAAGAAGTTAGTCGTTCAGCTTCCCCGATCAATGACTGATGACGTCATCCGTGAAAGCATCGTCGATCCGGATCACTAATTGTTTGCACGATGAGATTCACCACATCCCCTAAATTTCTCCTTTACCAATCAGTCGATTGGCCCATTAACCGACCGAATGACAACCCGACTAATAGACCTACTGTCAGTAATCTTACCCTCATCCTTTTTCTGACGACATGGAAATGTGATTGTAATGACTTGAAAATGAATTATCAAAAATATGTGTACGCCTACACTCAGTGTTTTGACATATGAATTAGCTGTGAACTCCCTTATACGAACCGCGATAAAGAAACCCCCACAGTAAAACAGACTCAATGATATTCATATCACTGATTTTGTTTTGATTTGTTGTGTGCTATTCTGTATGTGTTTATCTATGAAAAAATCCGTTTGCAATTATCACACACTTAATATTTACCGAACATTACCTAATCGACATCGATTCACTGGAAGAAAACACATAAAATTATGCGGCTTTTGAATTGGAGCTCTGTGATTTCGTTGTGAATGTGTAGTAGAAACAACCAAAGTTGATTTCACTTCACTAGTGATTCCATTTAGTTGAGGGAGAAAAGCCGAAACTCACTTAAATGGAATGAACTGTTCACGCGAACTTAGCCCAGTACAGCAAAATCACTCCCTGAGTGAACTGTTTTCCTCACGTGGAGGAAGAGGAGTAAAGCATTTTGCCCTGACAATAAAATGATAAAATTGTGACAAGTAACCGAATATCTTCACGTTGGTGTGCCAAAAAGAAGACAGATTGTAGACAGCGCTCTAATCCTAATCTAACTTGCTACCAAGTTCCAAATGATGGCAATCGAAATAATCCTGTGTCGCGAAATTTCATTATTAAAGCAACAGAGGATGGGGTCGAGGTGTTATATTTTGAAGAAGGAACTTATTCGGACAGCTTCCAACGCGTTTTCCACCTGCTATATGTAACAAGGGCGTTCAAACAAGCAGGACCTTAATAGTATACAGACGGGTGAACACATTTTCGCTCATAGGCAAACCGTTTTGCATTCATTACAGCCCATCAAGCATGCGTAACCAGTGCCCTCTGCACGCTCCATTTATCTTGATACTTGTGCACCTTTTGGGTGTTTTGTTCAAAATAACTTCATATAAACATCACCTACCATTACCTAGACTACTTAGACAAATTGGTGACAAGTAATGAATTAAAAGACGAATATCAAAAAAGGAAGTCTACTGAGCAATGAGTACGTGTGAATACTAAGTGATACTGAGATCAAAATTCAAGGGAAACAAAAACACCACGCTCCGTGCATTTTATCGTTGGTCGAACGGAAAATCGGAATTTTTGTCGAGGCAGCACTTAAATAATCCACTTTTTCTTTGTGTACATAAAAATAAAAATACCTCGTTGCAAGTACGTATTAATTGCTCTTCAAGGATATGGACAGATCTGGCTTGTATTATATTCGCCTAAAATCATTTACCATCTTCGTCTGCATTCGTTTTGTCTCCTCATTCGTGCGATTTGTCGCAGCAAGAGAAAAACTGAGGGTCACTTTGTACCTGCGATACAGCTTAATGTTTTCTTGTAAAAAACAAGCGTATCTAGATAATCTTCCCAAGACTTTCCTGCTCTTGTAAAAATTTGTTTTCAATAAAGATAAATATTTTGGCCCGTTTCTGATTGCTTTAACCTTACAAATAGACCATAAAAACTATGTGAATGACGGAAACAGTAATCCGTTGTGTGATATTTATGACAATTAGCTAATTACATACTCTGGTCTATTGATTTGCATCACCACAGCTTCCTCGGCATTTCTCAAGTGTTTCACATCAATCATTGTTGACCTTATCACGTGAGGCATTCTCCTAACTCGGTCGTTGTGAACGGAGTTATGGCGGCTCTATAAAGATAGGAGGCAAAAATGAAGTATGTTAACAAATGATAGGATACAGAAATACGGTGAAACAGAAATAGGAAAAAGTGACTCACAGTGTCCACAATGTTTAGCAGGTTGAAGTCAAACTGATCACACAAAAACGCTCCTCAGTTTCAGTTAGACGCTGTTTTTGGTCAGGCTTTTGAATGTCTTTCGAAAGGATCTCAATAGTTCCAAAGCTGGACGCCAAATCGCGGTAGGCGAGCTAAAAATTGTGTTTCGGATTATATGAGTTTGGTTTTGATTGTCACTGATCTCGGAATGCTCACTAGCAAAGCAGAGAGAAAAATCCGAAGCAATCACTTGCGGGAGCTTTCAAAATTTGCCTTTGTGAGTCTGATAAACCAACAAATCTTTGTGTACAATACAATGAGAAAGAAAATGTAGAATATGCGGGGTGTACGAAGTACCATGGAGTCCGTCTATTATTCTGTCTTCTTTCAACTCTTCACGGTTTAAAGTATGACGACTCAAATGGTTGATGATCAAAAGTTACAAAACAAGGACCTCTGTTTTGAACACAAGCATACAAAGCCTGTAGGTTTTTACTCCTAGCCATTGGCGATAAACCCAATGAGCTTTTATGTGATATAGTGCGAGGAGACAAGAAGAAAACAAATAAATCGAACATTTTTCTATGCACTGTGGACAGCAGCTTTAACTCACCATCCGCTAGCTTGCTCTCTGTGAAGTTCACTATCAGACCAAACCGAAATAGGACCCATTTAAACGACCGAACTTCAGCACATGAGCCGCTTACCTGATTATTGTGCAGGGGTCCGCCTGCCAAGGATGACTTTCGAAGTTGTTGAAGGAGCGCTTGGTTCTTGTGATATTCATTACGTTCCGTTGACGTCATTTCAACTTTCTAATCTATTCAAACAATTTACAAAATATAAGGAAGATTTGGTGTGCACAGGCTCAATGAGATGGAACTTTTCCGCTGTTGATCGATAAAATTCACTGGCTAGGATAAACCAGTCACTCACTGCTCTTAACCAGTTATTAAGATTAAAACTTGGTTTCTTTACCTTTCGAGCGACCTGAAATCATTACTTTTCCATTCAGAAAGTACCAATATCATAATTACAAGGTAAGAAGAGCCTGGTTTGTGTGGTCACTTGGGAGCATATTCCATATGCATCCTTTGTACGAGTTTCACATATTTGCTGTTTTCTCATCTCTGTTCCAGTTCGCATTTCGGAACATCACACGCACCAACTGGAGATGAACGCAGACTTTCTAGGACGCTCCGTAAGTGTTTTTTTGTTCGCTTTGTTTGCCCGCGCATTGAAAAAACTTACAGTGACCTTTTCAGTTGCGCGTTTTTTCTTTCCTCACACAGTTACCCTCGATGATCGGTTATAAAGCAAAATGATGAATTGGTCCTACAGACAGCACTGGTGTTTATTTTTGTCATCCGGTACTGCACGAGATAATTTGGTCAAAATGTATCCAGACACTTTTCTCTGAACTACTGCAATCGATCTCGTCTGTCTGCTTGCTTTCTGCACAGTTAAAGCGCTCAATCAAAAACGTACACCAGATTGCACAACAAACAGCGAATGTTTAACGAATGAAATGATTACTCGTCTTCGTTAATAAATTATCAGACACTTCAAAATGTGCATTAGAATGTGTTGTGGTAAAAAAAAACGAATTTTCATACATTTTTCAACCAGCGGAATACAATAATTTTCCATAAGTTCGATGAAGCAAAAAGGGACAAATATCGAAAATTAGGGCCGGAGCATGACCAAGGGTAAATGGAAAGTGAAAAACTCACAAGTTCACAGTCAATCGATCGGAGGTCGATATGATCAATGCAAGGCGACTTTGCATGTCACAGCGGTACATTCAGACGCGGCCAAGCTCGGCTTATTATGCGCCGCTGTAATGATCGAATTTAGGTTGAACAACTGTACATATTTTGTTTAAAAACATTCAGGGAGATCCTTGTCCTTTCCATGACTTTCAGTCAGCAAAATGATGAAGACGCAATTTGTCTGTCAATTTCCTTTTCACCAAGTAAATTATGTGCACTTCAGTCGACGTGTGTGAACTTGTGTGATTCCCTCTACCTTCTTAGTTTCAACCTATTCCAACACGATTCACCTGTCCACATTTTTGTTTTGCTTTGTATAGATGAAATGTTCTCAATATGGTTATAGGTTGACGCCCCTAAAACGAGCATGCCCACCACTCCCGCTGCTAAAGCTCCTCTGAACCTGATACAAAAGCATTTGATAAACACAAACTGTTGGAATAAAAAAGGAAAAAATATACTCGGTTACATTGGATCGGACATGGTCAACTGAAAACATGATTTGCTAAAAGTGCCTAAGAGCCGGATTCGCTGAAGACCTATCCTTGATATGAACAATTCGCTGCCAGAAGTTCGAATAGCGCCACTAATGGTCACTTCGGTGGTTGACAGTGTTCCACTGTCATCCGGCTCGACATCACACAAAACCTTGCGGGGTTCTCCTCTCCAAGTCTCTTAGTATGGTTGTAAACTATCCCTAGTAGTCCAGTGAGTCTTTGAGTCTACTGGATAAACCCAATCCACTGCACTCATTCTTAAGTATGTGGTGAAAAATTCCGTGTCACGTAGTGGATAGATAACTGACAATTCTGCTGGATCCGGCCAGACAGAAAATGTCAAGGCACAACTTGAAATGTGCGGTTAAATTCATAAGCTGTTTAAAAGATCTCCACGAGAAATAAAGATGAATGCCGTCACCAGACCTCAGTTGACAGTTTATCAAAGTCCAATTGGATGGAACCTTCGATTGTTCTTGTGACTTTGCCGAAGGTAAAGCAATTATGATAGGTCTTCCGTTAAATGTTCGAAATGAGTGGCAAGTTATCGCATATAGATGACAAGACAAAACTACCCCGGAAACATACCACCGGTTTCGTGGTTTTTGCCGCCCATCAGGTATGCGTGCACGGTACTCTTCCGCCCAATCATCTCTACACTTGAGCTCCCGGCAGTTTGTTTACAATTATAATCTGATTTGAATCCTGAGAAGTGTGCATAGACGGACAGTCCGTTTTTAGAATCACAAGGTGATTCTTCCAAATTTAGTTCCTCGGTTAACACGGCTCCTACACAAGTGCCTTTTTTCGGGAAAACAAGACTTCCAGTTCAAGTCTGATGATAGGAGCTACCGTGAAGGGGACGAAATAGCAACGAAATCTACACTCGCCGACTCTTTTATGGCAAGACTGAAAAATGATTACAGCTGTTGTAGTACAAAAGCCGAGGGTATGATATCCCATGTGTACTCGATTCCTCCGATCAACTAATAGACAAATTTAACTCAGCTCATGTGACCTTACAACTCACGATGGAAACGGAATCAAGCTACCCAATAGGCTCTCTAGATTTCTTGATGAGTCACTCTGAAGATGTTTTGATCGGTCAGTCAGCACACAGGAGGGCGACATGGAACTTGCAACACTTTCGTTTCCTCTGTTTCATGCCTCCTAAGGTAAAAAGATATGATTATATGCCTGACAAACACGGCAAGACAAGTTTGCACGGACAACACCATAGAAGAAGAACTCCTGGCCTTCCGAAGAATTTTCATTCGGAATAACTACCTGGATGAACTAGTTGGAAAGATGGAGTTGATAGTTTGAGGTGGGAAGAAAGCAAGTATACTCATATTTACCGTTCAAATGCGATTCTTTGGCACAGACTGCACATAGACCAGTGTTGCTTTTGCATTTGTAAGATACAATGCCCGATTCAGCTGCCTGATTACATATGCACCCATTCACCTCTTCCTATGGAACAATGTATATTAACCACACGATTAGGCACTTGTCTGGACGCATCAGCGAACATTGAAGCAACAAAGTCCAACTCATATTTTGTCCTTACATTTGTGATTTAACTGCATGATTGTAAGTCGATAAATACGAACTTGCTCGGCAATACGTGCTCCCAAAATGTGCTCAGTTAGAATATGTGTAAAATAGTATTCTTTGTTGATGCACCTAACTGAGCAAGCGAAACCGACACTGTTGTATGATAGAACAACCTGTAGGCTTAGTAAATTCTCTAAATTTTCGTCTGTTTCCTGGTTATCACTCGTGCTATTCACGGCTGTGATCGAAGAGTCACCTTCGTGGACTTTGGGCATTTAAGACCGAGGTTTGTATCCCGCTACCGTCTACCACTTCCCCACTGGCAACCTTGGAACGGCCACGGCTTCCTTCCAGGTATTTATTACTTTGTTGCTCATTAAACAGAGCAAGTAGAAGAGTAATTTTTCATGGTCATCCATAGCAGTCTGCAGCAAACGCACTTATGGATAACTTACCTCCATCATTTGAAAAAGCGTAGAATGATATACTTTGATTTTTCTATGAATGGATGGTATAGATGTTATTTATTCCGTTTCAGCTTATTGGTATTCTAGACCTGCTCATCACTAAGAGTGTCGTGTTCTTCTGTCAGTTTAGATGAATGAACTCACTTTTCTTGTGTTGGCGTTTCTTATCTGAAAATTAACTTTCAGCAAACGATGACTTGTAACTTACTTTGGACTTCGTAATCACTTCGTTGATCATGAATCTTTCTCCGTCAATATCTAGAAACAAATCATCAGTAAATATTTCTGTTCTTGTTATCTGCTTTATGAAATCAAGTCGTCAGTGAACAGCTCAAATCCACAGCAGCTGAAACCCTGGAGGAGTTGGAATGGTGCCTGGAACGCTTAGAAAATATTCAAACGCACAGATCGGTTAGTGATATGGCCTCGAGCAAGGTAAGATAATCGTTTAGCTGAATTGAACAGTGGCTAAGGTTTTGATTCAAAGTGTTCCCCTGGTTTGAAGAAAATGGATTTCGAGGGCCACAGCTGGTTAAGGTATATGATCAATATTCTGCTTAAGATATTCTAGACCAGATCATTGTGTAATGCATCAAGATTCTGTATGATTTTGGTGGAGTTACAGGTAACCTTCAAAGCAAAACTGATGCTGCTTCCACTGGATTTGGTGCCATCCTTCAGTAAAGGCGGATTGCGAGGTGCAGAGAAATACAAAAGACTCAGGTTATTGGAGATGATCGAAACACTGACCATCGGTATGAGAACCCGGTACACAATAGCCAGATGTAAATACGGTAATCAAGGAATCCGACGACTCATTGATTCATACTCAGGAAAGTCGTCTGAAACGTCGAGCGGAGTACTCTGCTGAGCACCCACGTTGGCTCACTTTCATCACGCACCTTCAGAATATCTGTAGGAGAACCAACGCACGTGGATATCACCACTCAAACATGAAGGAGACAGGTTATCAAAAAAGTTAAATATCTGCTGGACAGAGTGCGTCGAATCTGTTTGTTTGTTTTCGAGCACGAATGAGAAAATTCTGGTTATGAGAATAAAAATTCATCAGAGTAATCCGGAATAGTGGATAAATTCTCGAAGATTATTGTGAATCGGTAATTGTATTTTTTCAAACATCAGATGACGTGAATGTTTTCCATGATCAGTGCTGTATTTGCTTTTGAGCTTTTTCATCGTCTCTATAACATACGTTTGAAACTTCCTTTTCCCCTCGTTACCTTTTTGTGGTTCTGTTCAGTTTGCCCTGGATTCAGTGAGGTTGACAATTACCGATTAAAGCCAGATCATAGATTAGGGAGTTTGATAGTTAAAAGAACTAAAGTGAACTGGTTCACGTTTCAGTAAGTTATCTTTAGTCCCTGTGAGTAGTATGTGCTGTGTGTGAATTGGGATACAAATGGCAAAATGGAATTTTCCAGTGGGCTACTTTCGTTGAATAGAACATTGTTTCCTATCTTAGTACATACATCCGGATGGGTACTCGTATCCATCTGGTTCTACATAAGCTTCTGTAACAAAGCATATAACATGATTAATCGACTTCAGAATCACTTTGCTTTGCAGTAGATAACGGGCTTGTTGGTTTTAATAGGGAGCGTAGTCTATTTGATACTTGTTTTAAACAATGCTCAAAACTAGAAAGCTCTTAAGTGACCTTCTACTGTCTTTAGTGACAGCATTTTCATCGTTCTGGCTTCGATTGGAACACCTAAAATGCTTAATCAAACAAGGCTGTAATTGCTTGTTATCCACTTGTGAGTTTCTAATGAAAAGCTTGAGAAAATACGTCTTTAGGGGGACATTTTAAGTAGCTGTGACAACTTTACTTGATTCATAATCTCCGTAAAAAGTAACGAAGCTATGTAAATCAATCTGCATGAGGCAAGCTCTTGCTTCAGTCCTTCTTTTGTTTGATATTGTTATCTAAAACTGCACATCAAATGGAAGACAAATGACCCGATAACAAACAACTCACATTATCGTGGAATGAAACGGAGCGAACTTCCTTGCACTCAGAATTTGTGAGCAACGACTATTTTTGGTGCTCGTGATCCTTGTATTCATTGCTGATCTGCAATACTTTGTTGACTACGCGTACGTTAACCTAACTGAAAACACGGTTTTTATCCCTTTCAGGTAGTCCCATGTATCAACATTTTCAACGTATTAAATAAATCAGGTTCTGTTAGATTGACGATCTTCAACCTTACGACAGTTCCTCAGAATGAAAATATTAGGAAAGCAGTGTCCAGGGTCCATCACCAGGGTATATTTATTGTATTTTCCACGGGAAAAATATTTTTTTCACCTCCACTGATAATGAAAAAATTGAAATGTGAAGGCCAAGCTCGTTGAGTGTGGTTATCTGATTAGAAAAGGGGCAATCAGTCTTTTGAACTAAAACAAACCACTTAACGTTGTCACTGGTAGTTATCTATATTTTAGGCTGCTTATCGCTAGGGCACTACCAAGTTTTTGGAACATTTTTGAAAGAAACAGACACAGCATCTAGTTTGCCATAAATCCAAACCCACTAGCAACCTAATGTGCACCATGCACGGGTCTGTTCGAACGTGAAAACAAGTGACACGGAAGTTTCAGACCGGTTATGCGGTCATTGCACCTTCGAGCATTCCTTTCTTGACCGTCTTCTTCCGTCTGTGAGATGACTGAAATGAGTGCCCAAGGCAAGACACAGAACATATCGAATAATGCTGAAGGTCTGGTTATTTTTTAGCACATATTTCACGTTGATAATGTAGCATAGATATTCCGTGGGATTCGTTGTCTACACATATAAAGAGCCTCAAGAGAACGCTGTTAGTTGGCTGTCGGACAAAGTACTCCATCGCAGCGTAAGCTTTTACCACTAAGACCTTCCGCATTCATTCAGGAACCACCGGTAACACGTCAAAGTATTCATGAGTAATTTCTTTAGTTCGTACTCAATAAGTTTTTTATATTTATCTGACATGGATACCGGCGAACGACGGGAAAACAAGGCGTGCATCTGCGTCTTCTTCTATCGGACGATAACTGTTGGGCAGCTAGCCGAGTTCTGTGCACTGAAGTGTTACATGGACTAGAATTCGGAATACCTTGTCGCTGTCACCTACCAGTTAACTGCTTTGCCGAGAGCAGAAAGTCATAAAATCCACTCCACTTAGATAAATCAAAGCTAAAATATTGGAAAGAACATTTCAGTTATATTTGTGAGAGTTAACTAAGTTGGCTAAATGAGCCTCTCCTTCTGAATTCTATCTTTGTTTAATTTTACTGTCAGTTTTTGTTTTCTCAACATTTCCAAATTATCCTCTCGAAACCGACCAAAACCACTAACGGCTAAATCGCACTTCATCGTTTTCATTTGATGGCAGTTCAAAAAAATGTTGAACAAAGAACTCAGTCAGTTCACTGACGGAGGCCGAAACTCCAAGCAGATATCTGAATACATCTGCTCCACATTCCTCGACTCGAAAGAGGTCGAAGGAACGTCGGTTACAGATGGCGCAAGTGATGCAGCATACCCTTCTTCCAATGAATATGTCCCATCAGACAGCGAGGATAGGCAACAGTCGGCCGGAATGTCAACCACTGAACTGGAAACTAAAACTGGACCTGTTGTTCTATCCACTCCTGCAGATTTATCTGTTCAAGGTCGAGCCCGTGTTTCGGACATAGCTTCACACTTTATGCACTCTACAGATGAAGATGAGGTAATCAAGCCATACGGTGTAGTGTCAAATTACCCGAAACAGCTGGAAACGGTAAGTTTATTCCCAATTCAATTCTATCTCTCTAATTTTATGTGATTAGCTACTCCCAAGATGAATAGTATGTGAAGATCTGGCCTCCAAAGTTCACAGGTTTATACCTCACCATTTGGTTATAGATTTTGCTCACCAAAATCAGGCCACCGATTGTAATCCCTGATCCCAACCAATTCTAAAACAGTGAACGGCAGGACCGCTGAATAGAATCAAACGATGTTATTCAGGAATTACACTGAACTCGGGTCATTAGTTGTCCTGCTCACATAAAAGTAATCAATGGTACTCAAACGACATGCTCTCCTCTGGTAGGAGAATAACCAGGAAATTTTATTGTACCAAAAATGATGAAGAATTATTCAGTTGTTTTAAATGGAACCGTGAAAAAATACTAAAGCACCTCTCACCATCTAGGAGACAAACCGTAAAGGCTGTGCCCAAATGCCGATCGCAAGCAGTTTAGTCGTGCCGTATCACCAAGGTGCAACTTCATTTGTCAGGAGTAACACCCCATCGGATAGGACATTTGGGCTCACTCGAAGGAATGCAAGTATGCGCTGTGGTTTTGTCTCTACTTAAAAAGAATTGGGTGAGTATGTGTTTATTCGAGTGGGAGTTCGGGCTGATTAGTGTTTGGCTAGAGTCAGTCAACAGAAAACCATGTCCAGTTTCAGACTAAATGTACCGTGCCGAAAGACGTACTATACTAATGAAGACGAGGAACGTTTATACGTCAAAATGTCGGCATTTATCACATAAAGACCAGAAAAAATTACTGGCCGTTATGGATGCCTCTAACCCAGTTTCATGAACTCAGCCATTTTACGGCAAAAGTTTCTCCTGGTTAGAAAAGTGACGTAGTGGTTTACCTATCTTCCTGATCTCGCTGTCCTCAGACTTTGCGTTCACCAAGGGAAACCATCTAGAAATATTCAGCAAGTCAAGTGACTCATCACTGACAAACTGATAAGCCAGTCGCCTGTAAATCAATGCTGCCTATCATGACTAGTATCACAGTAACATGAATCGGTCGTTGTGGATAACTCTCAGCACTGAAAAATTGTAAGAAATGGTGCTTTTCTTAAAAAATTCACAATAAATTTACTCATGGTAATGTATTCCTGACCAGAAGATAAACAACGGATGGGAAACCAACCGTGTATAGATATGATGATCATGAAAGGCTCCAAAAATGTCACTCTGTTGATCACTATAAAATCCTAAATACTGATCTAACTGTCAGCTTTTAAGATAATTAGGGAAAATCACTAACCAACTAACTAAAAAATTGTCTCAATGACATTCAATTACGAATTGTCGACCAAATGAAAACAGAAGTGGCACCTTGCTGTCAAGAAATGTTACGTAAGTACCAAGTGTAGATGAGGAGATAGATGTCAATTTTTTTATCGACAGGACACTCAATGCAGCTGATATTGTACATCACAAAGATAATGGATCACCGTCGAATTGACCATTTCAATGGTTTGACAACACAGATCGTCCTCAGTAACGAAATGAAATGTTGCACAGATTAGCTGCAAACTGACGAAGATTCCGGATGATTACTAACGAAAGAGATCAACTACGATTCAAAAAATCAGAAAACCCGTACAAACTAGTGGTCCGCTATTAGACAGAAGTAAAAATCCCCAAAGAATAGTTCACAATTCCTAGGGGTTTCGTTTCTTTATTGGCTGACTTTCTGACGAGAACAACATGAATGTGCACGAAGCCCTTCAACAGTTTCTATTCCGCATCGATGAACGGCAAATACAAGATTGACAATCAGAGTTATGCAAATGTTGTTTAGCCATCAGAAAGTCATCTACAGGGCGTGACTCCGGATTGGACAGTTCAGTCATCCCCCTGGCTTTCTTCCACTCAATAAACTAATTCTCTCACCTACTTTCTATCACTAACCCCTTCTTTTGTGTACCCCGTGCGATGAAAAAAAGATGATAAAAGGCTGATCTTACCGAAATCGGATAACTTGTTTTGCATACCTACCCGAGTTACAATAACCACACAGAACAGCGAATACCCATCAACTAAATGCAAATAAAACATGAACATTTAGCCACAGGGCAAGAACCTGCGTAAAAACCAAAACAAGTGTAGTATTTCAGCAACATATATTGAAATATTTCTCTTAGTTCAAAATCAGAGTACAAATAATTGAAAATTCGACGTATTTATAAATGATTCGTCATGCAGCGCCAAAGCTCAAATCCTCAGCATAAATGTTGGGAGCATTCTACAACCAACATTTTGTCAACAACACATATCCAATGAGCTTCGATCGGAAGTCGATACTAAGCTGAGTTTCGTGTTCACAAGACGCAATAATGAAGAGGAAGCCGAGGCCTGCAAGTTAACCGCTTAGGCCTCTACGTTAAAAATCACCAACGTTTTTTTGGATCGTTGTGTGATTAAAGAGGGGAAATGCCCAGATCATTGAGGAATAAGGTAATTTCATGCTGCTTTACCGTGTGACATGCCCTTGAGGACAAACCCATTTAGCCCAGAGGTTAGCACTGTCAGACCCGCAAGCTAAATCTCCGAGTTCATCTTCCGGACAGTGAAGATTCAGTGACACATCGTAACAACTTTACAATGCTTTTCGTGAGTTGGGTATTGATTGCACAGGGAAAATATTTTGTGATCAAAAGATGTTGCAATAAATCGCCACGCTTTATAGAGTCTAGAAAATAAATTAAGTTACATCATTTCACGGATTAAATGTGAGGCTCTACTTCTCTACGTTTCTTTTCCTTGAGTGTTTTTCCCTCCAGTCAGGTTCAAAATTGTTTTCCCGCATTTTTTACTCAATCAGTCAAATCGCACGGAAGCATTTTAATTTTAAACTTCCTCATTCGTTTTTGAGCACTCTAATGCATCCCAAAATATGCTCCAGTAGACGGAATTTCGTCTCAGCGCGGCATTTTCTAGACTCCACAACCTTCAACGGGCTAATTAGAGCAAGTTCAATAATGATGATATTTTGCTTGAACGAAATGGCAAACCTTTTGCAGAGAAATGGATCTGTGGAAAATGCAACAAGGAACATCCGCTCCAGTTACGTCTGCTTCATTCTAACTCTTTAGGGGACAGAATAAGTCACTTTATTTCATTCTTCCATCTGGTTCTATTGCAGGCTTTCGAAAAGCGTAACATAGATTACCAAAGTGGAAACTGCATAAAAACAAACTTTGTTTTTCTTCGCACTAACAGTCTTTACTATTCGATGGCATAAGTTGAATAATAGAATCTACTGATTTTCAAGGCTAAACCTGAAAATTTCTAGGGACGCAAGCACATATAGCAGAAACAAGATCATTTCGAGATTCTCCTTGAATTATTGTTTCAGGATTATAAACCAAGTCCAGACAGTAATCGGAAGTGAGTGATATTTAGTTTTGTCTAACATATGACAAAATTCGCATCGGAGGCTCGTGTGACTATGCGAATGATGACACTCAAGTAAAGTGACACATAAGTTGGTTAATAGTCGCGGAACAACGTAAATATCACCGTGTACATACAGGTCAAACTCGCTATCAAATTGTCCACAGACTCAAACTTCGGTCAGTTTTTTAGAATAAAGGTTTTCTGTGGTTCAGTTTATAATAATTTGGGTTCTTCATTCATAATTATTGACATAATTTATTTATCTGTCTTTGGGCGGTTGAGCTGTTGAAACTGAAGCATGATTGCAGACGTGATGCTAACAAAACGTCATATAGTTCTGCAGTCACTTTTCGCAAAAACGGATATATGCATTATGGACCTGGAGCAAGCTTAGGGAATTGATCGAAGATAGCACGCCAATGTGAACTAACAAGCATGCACCCATGGTTCGATTCCCAGTTGAGACCAGACAAATATGCTGCACAACTGGTGTACCTAACCATGTTGCACTTTGCTTAAATAATTTTTAATAGTGAGCTGAGTTTCAACACTGTATCCTGATGAATGTGTTTATAAAACCAAAAAACCAAAATACTGTTAATTAGGAGAAAATAGAATTGACAATTTGAAAACTCTTCATTAGCTCAAGTGATTTTCACCAACAATGTACTCGTTAATCCAAACATCACCGCAGTACCAATTTATTTGATGATATCTGAATTCAGGAGATGATAAAACGTGAAACCTTCTTGAATCTGGCTAAGTTCAGACCTACGGATAGATGCCGTTCAAATTTTGGCTCTATTTACCAGCTGAGATACGGGACCACATCAACTAACTGCAAAACCTTTCAGACACGGATCGCACAGTTTGTCCACTCACATTACACTATCACATGGCATCTGCCACAAGGTGAATGAGATTGGAACAAAATAATCAACGTTCCACTAACTGATTACACGGCCATGTTTTGATTATGAACCACGGCTTGGCAAATTTGACAGTTTTCTGATTGTTTCAAATATGTAAACTTGCTGAAGTTGTCGAAAACAGCCTAATGTTGATGCTGTTTGGTATGAACATACGTTATTTACAATGTTCTTATCAACGAGAATAGACAAAGTGCTGTTGGAAAAGTTCCTTTTTCAGAATTTCGAGCATCAAACGTACTGCTCTACCTCAAAGGCAACTATTTTATCTTGAAGACAGTGGTTTCAAAAGCAATTTTGTACAAGTAGAAAGAATTGCAACGATTTTTTGAATTCAAAGCAGGGCACTGACTGGCTACCGCATATTTTAAATGAGCATGACGATGGCAAAGGCTTCCGAAAAAGACTTATATAAAGTTTATTTTCTTATAGACCTTAGTTTACGTAAATTCTACAAAAAATGGACAAGAAAACGGCCATCTTATTCTGTACGAATCCAGAATAATTTCCTGTGAGCTCAGTCGAAATCAAATATCTTGAAAAAATGTTTTGCGTCTAATTTCAGCCACTAATGGCTTGTCTTTCCATCAAACTGTAATTCAGGGGTTCAGGAGGCCTTTTTTGATCAGATAATATTCTGATTGTCTTTTTTGTATTGTAGCAACAGAATGATTCATATTTCATTGTAATACGTATGCCACAGTATACAATATACTGCATTTTTTCTGGTGATAAATAAACCAGAGAGCCGCAGTTCAAATATCCGCTGATCCAATCATCAGAGGGAAAAACAGGATTGTCGGACAAATTATTTTTCATTCATTTCATTACGCATAATAAGTACTGTTACGGACGGAGTTGTCCGTGATTATTCTGTTATACCAAAAGAGTTTAGAAGTGTCCGGATCAACAAAGAATCAACAAAATATATTTCTGATTACTGGTCCAAGTGCCTTTAGAAATCAATTATGACGTACCAGATTTATTTTTCTGGTTACTGTGTCACTATTAGGCTGTATTTCGCTTCACTTTCGTATGCTTTCTGTTGAGGTGTGGGTTGAAGGATTAGCCGGTAAATTCTTGCGACGATCAGACTTTGCTCAGTAATCTGTCCTAAACAATAATCAAGAAATCTGACTAAATAATTTTACCGGGAGCCAAACAGTGAGTATCCCTTTTTCTTATTTAATGAGCTACTTGCCATTTCAAACAAAGGTTTTTGGCATTTTGCCATCGTTCTTTAACCATTTTCTTCGCCAATTCTCTCCATCATGAATTTATTTTCAATGAAGATGTTAACCTCTTCAAAAACCTAGTTCCATTTATTGAGTCCTTCTTGTCATCTTCCAAAAGTTTAGGTCGAAAGAGAAAATATGTAATAAAAGTCTTCGTCAGCATTATAACGGTGATTTTCTCTTAACATTGTTTCGTCATTTTAACCGAATTGGTGAATGTGGCAAAATGAAACTCTTGTATGTTAAGAAATGTTGAGGATTCATCCGGGGCTCGGGGATTTATTGAGTTCAAAATAAATGGAAATTTCCCATGAAGTTCCGATGCACCGACGGTGTCACTTAGACAGGTGATGAAACGTTACCGATCGAAAAGCCAAGCTCAGAAATCAGAACGTCATGACAACCATCAACCTGAGCTACAATCAATACGAACATTTAAAACTATTTAAATATGAGGTTTGAACCAAGGTCATATGGATTACGTTGTATAGCAAAATCGCTGAATATTTTTATAATATTAGCCAGTGCTCACAGGCTCGGCCTATGACCGCTGACAAGTGTACAGTGAGAGATGAATATGATATAAACAATTCCCTCCTGCAGGAGGCTTTCTGGTTCAATTCGGATTTTTCCTCTTTTGTTAGCCAGATTTGTTAAAACTGGCCTATTTCACTTTTCAAAAATTTTCGGTTCATTTTAATACGCAGATTCTCATTCAGTCATTGGATATTTGGGGACTGGATACCTTCGAAATGGCACGACTCACCCCGAATCCGCTCACTTGCGTGTTCTACTCCATTGTTCAGGTTAGTTTGCTTCTATATTCGTTCCCTTTAGAAGAAAAAGCGGCAGCCGTGAAACCTAGGCTTGCGCCATAAAATAGGTCCATCTTCTCTGTTCCTACAAACACGAAGGGACGAATTTTTTCGCAAATGAGGTCTTTTGTGTGAATTCAGGTGAAACACGCACACCCACGTAAGACCCACAAAAACACGTACGGGAAATGTGACCTTTATCTGATGCCAAACTTTGTGAGATAGCAAACATTAAAATCTTGTCGTTCAGCGGAAGGAAATCCAATTATCAGGGATAGGAAATTCATTGACGAACTCGACAGGATTGCTTGAAGTGTCTTCTATGATTATGTTAACTGAAATTCTCTATTTATCAGTAAACAAAGTCCAAAGTTTGAACAACACTGATGATGTAGTTACACTATTTTTATAATTATTTCATTGATGATAATTCAGGAAGTATTGCCAATCAGTATGGAGCTATTAACTGATAAACTGTACAGAGCACTGTAATTTCAGTTGTGAAAACAAACAAAATTATTTCCGTGCTTCACGTTTGCGGTCGAAATGCTTCACTCGCGACCAGTCTTCAATCTGTTCTCATGAAAAGAAATTTAGTTAAACCTTAAATTAGAAGTTGAAATGGAATGTCTATTACGTATGTAACAATTGTTCCCTTCGGTAACATAAAATCTGTGGTAAAATCATTGCACCAACTTCTATGTTGGAGAACTTCATAATTACCTAGATATTTTTATAACTATTTTAATCACAATTCGGGCGAAATTTTCAAACTCCCAAAGATAGTGTGTTATTTCCCCATGGTCTTGAACAGTATCGCACGAGTTTCAACAAAAGGTAACAGCACACCGAAAGAAAGTACAATGAGAATAAATTGTGATTGATCCCCATTTGGACAACTAGAACGTATCAGAAAGCAAAATGTAGGCAGTTGTGTTTGTTTTGATTTCATTCTCAAGTCGATACAATCGCAGTCAAATGCGAACATATTAGGAGGAAAAAGTGAGGCACTTGTAGTCATTTGGTTAGTCGATCGTCTAGTCGTACAATTAAACAATATGCAGAAAAAGACAGAGCCAAATGTCACTGTTAACGGCTTGGATGGGCTTTTTATTCGACGGTGATATCAGCAACCTCAGGAAGAGGAAGCTAAATTGCCTGGAACAAATTCTTCGGTGAACACAGTTCAGACCAATGTAGTCTTACATTCACTGAAGAGATAGTGAGCTGCTGTAGAAAGGCATAGCTTAAGTCTTTTTTAGGTTAACAGCTAGCAAAGGATTACAATAATGTCAAAGGAAACGACTGTCACTCCGGATAGTCGGAAGGAAAACACTCCAAACTCACAATGTGTTGTTGCACTATGGGTTTGTATCCTACCTGAGACTTGGTGGTAACGCACGGCTAATGATGATTTGTAGCCGGTCAGGTAAACTAACTGCGCAAATCTTTCATGGAATTTCGGTGATAGTTGAGACTTTGAAAAAGTACAACGAGATGTTCCGTTGATATGTTTTTCCCCTCTGAAATGGTTACATGGAAATGCATATAATTTGACCCACGCTGGCCAAACAGTCTTCATCGTGGACTGAAGACATAGACGTCCCATGTGCATTTCATTCCCTTGCCAGGTCACTTCCCCGTTCGGGGGACTTTCATTAGCTGCGGGCCCCTCTTAGAAATGAGATGTACATCGCCGTATATTTAATAGAGGAGGGGAAAATATTATCATGATTACCAAATCCTATCTGGAAAGGGTTGGTGATGTGGTCATGTTACACCTCCTAATGGTCAACTGTAATGTGGATGGGAAATTCCCAACATCGATGCTACAAAACTTACAGGAGCTGACCTCGTAATAAGATTACAGCTCCGGTACCTCGACAAACACAAGATAAAACAAAATCACGAAAACAAACGGTAGGTTTTGTAAGCAATAGGTTGACTCGAATGAAACCTGTGTGAACAGAATCCGGATCCTCTTACCCCGAAATTCCCAATTCTGTTTTGTAAATGTTCTGCAGCACTTTCTTCCTTGACTGAACCACACAGTGGAAGTTGATCACAGTGGACTTTTTGATTGGTGCATTTATTCCTCGTGATCTTTGACTCTTTTGACATAGACGTTTGCGTCAGTTTCTCTAGCTTGATTAGCAAGCAGATACTTACACTATTGGCCAAAAAACGTCCCCCCTTCCCTCCACCATAATCAAAACAATGTACATCAGTGAAATCCCCTGCTGAAGTCAGAATGTTCTGTTGTGAATGGAAAAGTGTGGTCATTTTCAAACGGCCACTCAGTTGTAGAAGTTTGGTCCACTTAAGGATGATATGACGGCATTTATCAGCCGGGTCATACTCACTCAAAACCTTCTCACCGAATGTTGCGGCATACGGCTCCATTCCTCCTCCAAAGTAGTCTTTTGATTCCTCTTGAGATTCGTGTTTTCGCTTTTCATCTCACAAATATTCGAACGAAATCGAATGGTCGAAATAACCAAGGGAGCACCTTTGCATCTTGACGCGCATGTGACTCGTGAACGAGATGGGAACTACGTGCAGGCAAGTTGTCGTCCTGGAAAACCGCTCAACACTGGCTAGATATGTCAGATCAGGACTTTTAGAAAAACTTGGCCATTGGAGATGCCGTTCAGAAATACCAGCTTACTCCTACATTCGCATCAGATGGCTCCCCAGACATGAACGGAACCTCAACTGTGCTGGTCAGTTGCTGTTATCATATCACTTTTATTGGTTTCGGAGTTGAGTTTCCAAACTCACCTTCGATAATCCTGTTTGAATAACTAAAACACTGCTTAACCAGTCCAGATGATCGATTTCTTTTGTTCGTTCCTCCAAACGCCCCTCCTCAGTGCCCACTCCGAACTCAATCTTCTATGAAGCTCAGCAAATAGAGGAGCAGAAATGTGACCCCTTGGTGAAATTCCATGTCCGCTGCATTGACGATACACAGTGTGGATAATTATTGGATAACGAGATGGGTTACCGATCAGAGCTGATAAACGGGGTCGATCAGATTAGCATTATCTAGTATTACCTTTGTGTGGCCTCCCGCTCTAGACGTCAGATGACCTCATTTGTGCATATCACGTGAACTCAAAAGTACGAATAAATGTGTAGGCTGCCAAACTACAGAACGTGCACAATTGCTTCTAACCTCCATAAAAAATCTCCCTATTTCCGCTTACTGACTGTATCAAGTAAACATACACCTGTGTTGGGCATGTTAGATATATCCTGAACTGACGGTCTGGAGCCTCACGACAACTGTTTACTTTCGAAAGGCGTTTTTCTAGACGAATAAAGTGTGCAGTTTTGCTTGGACCGACTCTGGTCAGCAGGGCGGTCATTATTGAGGTTTTCCTCGATTTTTTCAATTATTTATGATATATATGTAGGGAACAATACTTGAGTACAAACTGGCATTTGTCATCTTTAGGATTGTCATATCCGTGACTCAACCGACAGCTCAGCGTTGGTTACCGTAATAAAACAAGCAGCTTATGCTGTTTCACTGTCGTTCTAAACCAACACAATGTTTGTTGCTCCTTGTTGAATATCGGTGACCGACTTCAATAGCCAATATTTTGCCCTTGTTATCCGGGTCTTGCAGAAAGCAGAAGCGATACTTGAAGGATCCACTTTATGATTTCGTTCCCTCAAAACTGTTCACTTGATAATCACGTGTTCATTTTACCAGGTTTCCTTTCTTTACTGTCTGAGTGCTTCGCCAAAGGAAACGCAAAGAAAATCAGCTCCCTCAGACGATCAGAAAAACTAGACTTTTTCTACTATTTTTATGACTGCGTGTTTTATTTCGCTCTTGATCGATATTGTGCTAAAAGGATGATAACATTTTACAGCTCTCAAAGTCTCAAATCTAATATTCTCGATGACCACTTCATGTCGACAGTTAATTTCGACATAACAAATCACTTATCCTCGTAAATCCACCAAGTCAGCAGATTGACTGCTTGCGTGCATTCTTCTTTGCATATGGTCTCCCCTTCAAGGACCCCTGAAATATTCTGTTCTATCAACTGGAATTCATTTCGTTAGAAAAGTTTATTGGTTACGATCGTTCCTGAAAAAAAAAAGGAAATAGTTGGTAACTTTCCGGAGCGATCGACCACAATCAGTGGCAGGTTGGCTAGTGATAATGAATGCACCGTTTAGGCAACCATTCGATTCTGATTGTCGTTGACTGACTGACAGAGATTAGACCAGATTTGTGACCATTCTCTCGCGACCTTTAGTCGAAAATAAAGAGCAATGTCATTTTATGTACTCCCGATAACTTGCGACGGTTTCCTCTCCCGTCACCTGAAGCAACCAGATAGCACTCCGAATCCAGAGGAGGACTGTGTTCCAATTTTTTTTAGTGTTCGTTGATGTATTTGGCACTGTCTAGCAACAAACGAAACAGATCAATTGATGAACTGGCAAAACTTGAACTGGGAAGTATTTTGGTCAATTATTTATAGCAAACGATCAGTTGACATGAACTGTGATGGTGATTTTCGAGATGGGAGCGAACAGTGGACAATGGGCTACGGGAGACCTGTATTGTAGAGTTACGGATTTTCTGATCTAAACTGAAGTGAGGTGCATAGGTGTTGGGAAGTATATCTGGCTTCCGTTCCCACGAAGTATATACTCCCTTCATCACACCGATTAATTTCACTGTCTGTGCCGTTGCAAAATCCTTAAAAAGCAATTTTGACTGGAAATAATTCTTTTCTCGTAATTCTGAGAATAACTTTGGACAGGTACCCAAACTACTTATGCGTGAAACTAATTCAACCGCCCAAGTCTACGACTGAGGTTCTGTGTTCCTAGACAATCTTAATTTCACTTTGTGACTACAGTAAGCATCGAAAAATTTTGCCCTTACTAAAACACAGTGGATTGATGAGATAAAACAGCAGACTCTAGACGACGTGTGTTGCATGGAACATTACGAATTCCGG